TACATCAGATTTACATGGATTTTTTATATTGTACTATTTAAACTTTGTATATGATGTGATGTCAAAAAAAAAACTTCGTATATGATGTTTACTCCCTCTGTTTGATATTAAGTGTCGTTGTAGAGAAAATTTTTCGTTACAAAATAAGTGTCATTTTCAGTTTTCAATGCAAAATTTATTAACTTTATTATGAAAATTATTTTTATATTAGTTGAAATAGGGTTAGATGTATGGATAATTGTGTTTTTATATAGAAATTATGTAAAATTAAATATTTCTTTAATACATGTACACAAACCTAAAGTGACATTTATAATGAGAGGGCATATTATGTAAAATTTTATTATGCATGAAAATAAAATAGTTTATTGATGTAAAAAGGAACAACTAAAAAATATAGGGTCAACGATCTATTTTCCCACGAGAACTATGATATAGCAAAAGATCCACACCAAACTATGATCTCGTGCTAAATATCAATGATTTAAAAATTCTAAACCTATTTCTCCATGAACTAACAATTTCAAATATATTTTTCTCCGAACTGATAATTCCAAACTCTATTCTCCATAGACCATGGTTTTAATTGGTTACTGTTAACCAAATAGTTTAATCGGTTAAACCTTACCAAAATTCTTTTTTTATCAGAAAATATTTTTATTAAATAATTTATTAAGTAGAAAGAAAAATTGTTCTTGCCGGAATTCAATAGTGTCGACATTGCTCTTATAGTCAGTCAGCGTTATCATTCTTCTGGTTCCTTAATGGAATTTAACTAATCAAGAGAAACAAAAAACAAATTAATAAATTAGTTATTGCTCTCAGAATCTGAAACAATATTAAATTATTAAGCCAGAGCCATGAATATCACGAGGTTTGTTCTTCTTCGTCGAGCTTTTTTTCGCCGTTGATGACCGCTGCAACATCCCTTCGCTTCCCATTATTCATGTTTGTCTCAGTTTGTTGCATTTACGCTCCGATCTCCATCTTTCTTCTCTCTGAAATTTTTGATTCACGGCATCTCATGCCAATGCATCTCGCCCGTAACAGAACAAAGCCACCACAACAATACAATGGAAAGAATGGTATAGCGCCACCAAGGTACCATGGAAAGAATCTGGAAGCAATAAAAACACGTCTAGTATAAGTTACATGGTGAAGACAATCGTAAGGCCTCTTGGTGAATGGTATAGCACCAAGTATCATGCTGAAAAAAAATTGTTTCAGTTTCAACTTTTCATAAAGAGGAAAACAAAGATCTGCGTAATCTACATCATCACGGAAGCAAAATAGGCAAACACAGTAAGGAACCAGTTTTATTGGATATCATTGATCGATCCAAAATGAATTCAGATTTAATTTTTTTTTGTCTTCAATTCAGATTTAAATTATTCTAAGGAAAAAAAATATAAAATATGTACGAAGCCAAAATTTTATCAACCAAATCCGACCTAAACATGATCCCAATGAGATTTAGAAAACTGGAAATCAGGAAATTCGAAAACTCGATCAGAGCCGAACGTTCAGACCTAATTAAGTCAATAAGAATTCCAACATCGTACCAAACTTCTTTTCCACCGTCCGGTTTGCAATTTTTTCACCGACCAGAGGTGTTTGTTATCCTTTTCATGAATCAGAGACTTCGGTTGTTAATAATATTGTAGAAACAAAACTTTAACAGCAAAAAAAACAATCCGTCGTCGTTTGTTCACCTCAAATCCCTAAACCGTATTCTCTGTCATAAAATTGCATCCTCTTCTCTCTCTTCTAACCGTCAAAACCTCCAATTGAGGCTTGTTTTGATTTCGGTTTGCAATTTTTGGTTACCTTCTTCAAGAACCAGAGACTTGAGTTGCTAAAAATATTGTAAAAAAAATTTTTAACAATTAAAAAAAAACGATTATTCAGGAAAGTATTCTGGTTTGACCCAGTTTTAAAAAAAATTATTCTCTTTACCCTACAAAAATTCTATCTACCCCACTTTTTTCTCATATTTCCATTCTCCTTCTTACCCTCACTATTATATCATTATAGTACCCCACGTTTCCCATCTGTCCTATTTTTTAAACATTAAAAACATATCTGCTTCCACCTCACCAATCCACCTCTCTCCTTCCTACACTTGTCCCTCCTGTCTCCTTTCTCCTTTTTCCCCAACCACCATCGAACCACTTCTTTCTTTCAACTTGAGTTTGGCGATTTGGGAGGTTTTTTTGAAGTAAATTCATACTTTTTCCACGAAATTTTCATAAAAATATACTACTTATGTTTTATGCATTATGTGTAACGAAAAATATGAATGTATGGCTGTAAAAGTCGTGAGAGTTTTCAAAGAAAAATGAAAATAATGTTTGAAAAAGATTCTGTATTTTTCTCTATTTTTAACACGGTTTTGAAAAAAAACATGAAAATTGTTGGGGACGATAATTTGGGTTGTGTAAGACGTTGTTAGTTGATTTAAAAGACTTAAAACTAAGTAAAATTAAAGTTTTAGGTAAAAATGAAAGTTTTTGGTATATTGTTATGAAAATGGATGTTTAAGGTCGATTTTGTATAATTATTCTTATTTTCCACTGTTTTAAAGCAGAGTAATGCGTTAAAATAGTGGTAGACGATATTGTGGGTTGTATAACACTCTCTTGGCCAGTTAAAAGTGTTAAATCGAGAAAAACAAAAATTTATAAGAACTACTGGAACTACTGATATTACTGAAGTGAAACGTGTATTACTTGTATTACTGGAACAACTATGTACAGAAGACCTTGGACAACTTAGGTTCTTTAAATAGTTAACTAATCATAATTTTATTTTTTGTTTCAGGTAAATCTATGTTATGGTCTCTCCTATTACAATCATATGTTTTGATTACGGAGGAAGTTATATCAAAGATGGGGGTGAGAGAAGATGGATCTTGGGAGAAGATGAAATTCACACTCTAGTGATGAAGACAGCTATTGAAGAGATTACGTATTCTGAATTGCTTGAGAGTATATGCAGAAAGATTAAGGCAAATGGACATGGGATGGTGAAGATTAGTTACTTTCCAATGGTATTGTATTCGAAGAAGCCATCATATATTTGGTTTGATGAAGACGTTTTGAGCTATCTCATGCAAGTAAATCATGATAACTGTAGAAATGTTTTACATGTGGAGATCAGCAGCGACATGGATGATACATGTGGTGGTCAGTCACTTTCAGTAGATGATGATGAAACTGATGATAGATATAATGGTCTTTCCGATGGAGATGATGATGGAACTGATGATAGCTACGTTGGTCTTTCTGATGGAGATGAAACTGATGATGAAACTGATGATACTGAGAATCATGGGATTGGGTAAGACAGAACTGATCAGGATCATGAGATGGATGGCGTGGTCGGCCTTTACACAGCCCAACAACATGAATACATTGAGATGCATGAGAATTTAGAGCATGGGTATGAAGGTGAAGCTGCAAGAGCGGAAGTTGAAGCCACGACAGCAGTAGTTGAAAGCCACGACAGCAATAGAAGAAGAATGGGAGGATGGTCTCGATTTGGTTAAGGATCAAGAATTCAGAACTAAGACAGCCATGCAAGTTCTAGTTCAGAGGTGTGCGCATAAGAATGGTTTTGAGTATGACACACTTAAGTTTGATACTTGGAGGTTTGTGGCAAGATGTCGAGAACATAAAGAAGGTTGTAAGTGGTATTTTCGTGTAGCAAAGCTTACGAATTCAGATCTTTGGACGATTAGAACTTACATCAAGTCTCATACATGCTCAGCGGTAACTACAAGTACCCTTAGAAATAGAAGGAGAGGCACACCACAGATTGTCGCATCTGTTTTGAGTGAAGAATACGTGAGGTGTTCCCAACGGCCGCACATGGATACAATGTCAATAGGTAACACTGAACTACTAGGTACTACTTTGTACAACTATGTGAACTACTACGAGCTACTTGTACTACTATATGTAACTTGAACTACTAGGAACTACCTTGTACTACCTTGAACTACCTTAAAATTATCTTGAATTACTATGTGTTATGCATTTTTCTATTAGCCTTCATTTTCGTTTTATTATTTATTTTTAGAAGACGTATCTCATATATTACGTGATTATATGTTCATATTTGTGTATATTTGCCAAGTTAAACATAAAATTTTCTTACATTCTCAAATTTGTAGAAAACTTTTCATTTCCATAGAAAAACTCATTTACTTCCTTACTAATGTCTTGATAGGAATGCCATAATGAGATGAATTTCAGAAATTACATTATTTCTAAAATTTGTTTCTGCTATTGTGTTATATACAGTCTAAAACTGTCTAAACACACTCGTGTTACTAATAAATTTAATTTATAGAGGTTGTTTTACTAAAAAATGTGTAATTTTGCAAAAATATTACTATGAAGAATGAAATATTACTAGTAGCTTGTCTACTACTAAGTGTAAATTTAATATTCAAACATGTTTGCTTACTAACACGTTTTAGACATGTGCCATAGGTTTTTTTTTTAACAAGGTGTGGACAATGTGTGTTACACGTTTTAGACATGTGTCTTAGGTTTATATTTTTTTTCCTTAAAGTGTTGAAAATATTTTCTCTTAGTAATACATAGTATACCTAGTAGTACAATTATATTTTCGTAAGACCTAGATTGCCTTGTTCTCAATTGGGCAAACCTGTTGCAAGACAACCACACAACACAAAATATCCTACATAGAGATAATATCAAATTTTACAGATCAACAACCAACAAAACATAGCAAAATATTTTAAACATCCTACATAAGTTTACATAAGCCGAGATAAATATTCAACACCGAAAATATTTTAAGTTGATTGTCTTCTAAGCCTTTGTTCTAGGCTTCTTCTTGAGCCCTTCAATCTCATAAGTTCCAGCTTCAGTGAAAGGAGTGGAAACCCACTGTGAACGTGAACGTGTCCTTTTTGTCGGTTATGGCGTTGTGAACTTCTTTGGTTCAGTAGCCTTTCTCGATCGACCCCTCTACTTAGGAGCATGCTTCCTCACCGCCATTTGCTTTGGCCTATGCTTGATCCCAGTACGAGCAGAAGCTCCTTCAGTTCCATCTGTCTTATCCACAGCAGGAGCTCCCTCAGTTCCAGCAGGCTTGGCGGCTCCCTCGTCAGCTTCCTTCGTTTCGTAGACAACCATGTACCACTCTTGCTTTTCTTCCTCTGTGTATTTTGCAGCCTCTTTCTTGGGTTCTTCCACCTCATCCTCCACCATTTTTTTCAGCTTGAACCTCTGTTTGAACCTCTGCCTCAGCTTCCTTCGTTTCAACCCGAGCCTCTTTGTCAGCTTGAGCCTCTGTTTCAACCTCTTCCCCCACCATGTTTTTAGCGTTTTCCTTATAGAAAAACATCACCAAGTTTCTCGTGAGTGCTCTTATCTTCACGCCTGTATGAACTGATGTCCTCGCGGCTTCTGCGTTAGTCCGACCACGTCGTGGTGGTGTAGGAGTTTCCTTGGGTTCTTTCTCAGCCTCTTTTATTTTCTCAGCCTCTTTGTCATTAACCCGCGACTCTGTTTCCACCATTACTCCACCCTCTGCATCAACCCGAGGCTCTATTTCCACCCCTACTCCACCACTAAACACTTGCTTTGTATCTTGGTTGTCTTAGTGAACTCGGTGTTCTTGAAGTATAGCTCATCAGGTGGCAGTGGTTGGCATTCCTGAAAACCATATAAAGTTATATTAGCATTTTGTTTATTAATCTGGTCTGCTGGAATAAGTATCACACAATTTTTTCCTAGTAGTACTAGTCATACCAGTAATACACCGATACAACCAATTTTTTTAACTACAGCCAATGAAATATTTTTGGGAATGAGTACCTCAGATGTCGCAGACAAATGTTTAGTCTCATTCTCTTGTCGAGAATGATGATCAGACTCATTTCTTTGTGCTAGATCATCATTATCATTTCTGGTTGAAGGCTCTTCTACATGATCATCTTCTCTTCTGGACTTCTTCATGTTGTTCTTATTATGCTTCTTCTGTCTATGCTTCTTACCTGTCATTACTTTGATTATCCAAAAAAAACAAACATTCAAATAATGCTGAAATAAACAAAGCACTCAAACAAAATCGTCATAGTGCTATAACTAGGATTTCAATTCAGTTACAGAAAGATAAAACAAAAGGATAAAAGGAAGCCTTTGACCAGATTATAATTCAATTCAGTTCAGTTAACCATTCAACAAAAGAATAATCTTTAAAAAAAAAGAAAAATCAGATTCAAAATTTCAAAATCCATTCATTTCTTTAAGCCGAACAAGTATACATCATATATCCCAAAGAACCCACATCAAAACGATTGACATTGTGAAAAAAAGGTAAGAAAAAGCCTTACCTTTTACACGCCGAGAATGGTGATGGAAGCGACGATTTGGGAGAGAGACACGGGAAGAAAGACTTAGGAAAGAGAGGGTTTGGAAGAGAGACAGAGAGACACATGGAGAAAGCGTTGGTTTCAGTCGATTCGGTCGATTTTGCCGACGAACGGATTTTAGGATTTTCAATTTTCTTTCGATTTGGGGAAAATCAGAAAGACTTAGGAGAATTTAGGAAAGAAAGGGATTTGTGAGAGAGACACGGGGAGAATGAGAGGGTTTGGAAGGTTGGACCTGTAAATATTAGATTTTGTCAAGTGTAGTTTCGTTAATTACCACGTTTTCGATTAAAGTATGAATAAAAATATAATTTTTTTTATTGGTAGGGTAATAGACATTGAGTGAGTGGGGCAAGGAAGAATTAGATCCGATTATTCACGCTCACCTCAAATCCCTAAACCCTATTCTCTGTCAAAACACCTTCATCCTCTTCTCTATCTTCTAACCGTCAAAACCTCCAACTGAGACTTGTCTTGATTCCGACAGAGAGTATCATCATGGCGTCAGCGAAAGGAAACGATTGGAGAAGTGTAGGAGGAGCTTTGGATGAGGAGAATCTCGTCTTCGAAACGACCAAAGGGATCAAACCAATAGCGAGTTTCGACGAGATGGGTATGAATGATAAAGTTCTTCGCGGAGTCTACGATTACGGTTTCAAGAAACCTTCTGAGATTCAGCAGAGAGCTGTGATGCCTATCCTCAAAGGACGTGACGTTATCGCTCAGGCTCAGTCCGGTACGGGTAAAACCTCCATGATTGCTATCTCCGTTTGCCAAATCGTCAACACTTCCTCCAGAAAGTACGTCCTCTTTCTTTCTTGCCCTGTTACGAATTTCAATTAAGACAAGGAACACTTCGTAGACATTGTTTCTGCAATTATTACTAGTCCACTTGGTATTATCTCGTTAATGATTTTTTTCTTTGTAATTTAGAATGGTTAACACTTACTTAAGGTTGCAATGTCTTTTTATGAAACTTACTAATCCACTTGGTATTACATTGTGAATGATTTTGCTTTGTAATTAGGACAAGAAACACTTGCTTAAAGTTGCAATGTCTGTTTCTGAAATTCACTAATCCACTTGGTATTACATGGTTTGTGATTTTTGTATGTGATTAAGACAAGGAACACTTGCTTAAAGTTGCAGTGTCTGTTTCTGCAATTCACTAATTTACTTGGTATTAAGACAATGAATCTGTTTCTCCACTTTACTAATCCACTTGGTAATACATGGTTAATGATTTTGTCAGTAACTAAACAAGGAACACTTACTTAAGGTTACAATGTTTCTGCAATTCACTAACTCACTTGTTATTACATGGTTAATTATTTTTTCTTGATTAAAATGATTAACACTTGCGTTATGCTGCAAGATTTGTGCTTTAATCCACTTGCTATTTACATGATTACTTCTGCTTTGTAATTAAAACAAGGAATCTGTTTCTCCAGCTTACTAATACTTTGTACGACATGGTTAATGATTTTTTTGTGTCACTAAGTTGAGGAGCTGTTACTTAAGGCTGCATTATTTGATATTAATGATGTACTAATCCAGTTGGTATGATATGGTTAATGTTCTTGCTCCGTGATTAAGCTGAGGAACACTTTGTATTACATGGTTAGGACGAGGAAGCTTTGATTAAGGTTGCGTGATCTCTGTTTTTTTCTGATTTACTAACCAAATTGGTTTTTCCTGTTTGTTGGTTTCAAGGATTCAGGTTTTGGTTTTGTCTCCATCAAGGGAACTGGCTTCACAAACAGAGAAGACGATACAGGCCATTGGAGCACACACCAACATTCAGGCACATGCCTGCATAGGTGGTAAGAGCATTGGAGAAGACATCAAGAAGCTGGAGCGTGGTGTACACGCTGTATCTGGAACACCTGGTCGAGTCTATGATATGATAAAAAGAGGAAGCTTACAAACCAAATCTGTTAAGCTTTTGATCCTTGATGAATCAGATGAAATGCTGAGCAAAGGTTTGAAAGACCAGATCTACGACGTTTACAGATCTCTTCCACACGATATTCAGGTTTGCTTGATCTCTGCTACTCTTCCTCAAGAGATTCTGGAAATGACAAACAAGTTCATGACGGATCCTGTGAGGATACTTGTGAAGCGTGATGAGTTGACTCTTGAAGTGAGTGTTTCTTTTGCTTTAAATCTTTGGTTTTCAACCATTTGTGAATTATCATTAAGTTTTCACTTTTTTTTTTCAGGGGATTAAACAATATTATGTTGATGTTGGGGAAGAAGAGTGGAAGTTCGATACACTTTGTGATCTTTATGGGAGGCTTGTTATCAATCAAGCTATTATCTTCTGCAACACAAGACAAAAGGTAACTCACTCGTGTTCTTAAGCTCTTTGGTCTTCCTATATCTTATGTCAGATAGTTGATCGTCATTTATATTATTTACATAAGGTGGATTGGCTTACTGAGAAGATGAGGAGTAGTAACTTTATAGTCTCATCAATGCACGGAGACAAACGTCAAAAGGAGAGAGACGAGATCATGAACCAGTTCCGGTCTTTTAAAAGCCGTGTTTTGATTGCATCGGATGTATGGGCACGAGGGATCGATGTTCAGACAGTAAGATCTTTTCTCTCTATCTCTATTTTGACTATTAATATCTCTCAAAATTATCTTTGAAAAGAGACAAAACTTTATGCTGAAAGTTGAAATCTTTATCATGTTTTAGGTTTCTCATGTCATAAACTATGATGTACCCAATAACCCGGAGCTTTACATACATCGCATTGGACGAGCTGGTCGGTTTGGGAGGGAAGGTGTTGCGATTAACTTTGTGAAAAACTCTGACATGAAGACTCTTCGTGACATCGAGAGGTACTATGGTACTAGAATCCGCGAGATGCCTGCTGATCTTGCCTAAGGATCTTGCTTCCTTGAAGCCGAGGTTGAAGAATCAGTGTGTTAAAGCCAGTTTTGTTCTTTTTACTTTTTTTTTCTTTTTCTTTCTTCTCTGAACTCTGTTGGTTTAGATGTAGGCATAGCTTTCTATAGACTGTGAATTTAAATGTATACCGACATAAGGCTGAAAGAAAAGTTCTTATTTAGCTTTGCATTTTAGAAATCATTATGCGAATTTGGTTTAATTCGGTTAGGATTTAGCAGAAATTTTGGTTCGGTTCAAGCCGTTGAAAGAATTAAACCTACTGAGAAAAAACTGAAACCTGTTGGATTAAGTTTGAAGAACAAGCAACCTATTTCTATTGAGTTATACAATAGGAAATTCTCTATTATTTGTCCTAATGAGTTTAGGAAATAGAAACTATCCTAATGAGTTTAGGAAATAGAAAGTCATATATATAGAGATGCTTAGACGAGATGTAATGTGTGAGAGCTTGAGGTTTTGTGATAGTTTTCCCTTAAGAAAGATTAATAAGAAGTGTTCTTATTTTGTGAGTTATATCAAAGTGTTTGAGTTGGTTGATTTCAATATTTGGTATCAGAGTTTGTTTGATCAATAGACATGGGAGAGTTGGTCACCACGACAAACAAGAAAGATGGGGGTTTTTCCTTTATGAAGTATCTGATGTTAACAACAACCAATTACACCGTATGGGCTATACAGATGAAGACGCTGCTCAGAGTTCATGAAGCTTGGGATGTTATCGAGGATGAGTCGATAGAAGGAAAGAAGAATGACGTTGCGTTAAATATATTATTTCAATGCATCCCTGAGACTCTAATCTTACAAGTTGGAGAGCTTAATACTCCAAAGAAAGTATGGGATATGATCAAGGCGAGGTATGTAGGAGCTGACAGGGTTCGAGAAGCGTGACTACAAACTCTTACAACGGAATTTGATCGGCTAAAGATGAAAGAAGCCGATAAAATTGCTGACTTCGCAGGCAAGTTAACAGAGTTATCCTCAAGGTCAGCCGCTTTGGGTAAACATATGGACGAATCTATGCTAGTGAAGAAATTCCTGAGTTGTTTACCAAGAAAGAAGTACATACACGTCGTTGCTTCCATAGAACAGATGCTGGATTTAAATACCATGAGCTTTGAAGATATTATAGGCCGTTTAAAGACATACGAGGAACGAATCCAAGACGAGGAAGAAGATACACAAGAAGATCAAAACAAACTTATGTATACAAATACAGTCACCGACAAACCGAGACTACAATGGAGATTATAGAGGACAAGGTCGAGGACGTTATTATGGAGGTAGAGGAGATTACAATAACGGAAGAGATCCGTATGCAGGAAGAGATGCATCTCGTGTTACGTTTTTCCGTTGTGACAAAGCATGTAACTTTGTTGCTCATTGTACAGATTTGAAACTAAAGTTACAAGAAGCTCAAGAAACGGATAACATAGAGACACAAGAAGCTGATGAACTTATGATGCATGAAGTGGTATTCCTAAATGAGAAGAACGTCGTACCTGAGAAGTATGAAACCAACGATGGACATGATAACCTATGGTATCTTGACAACGGAGCTAGTAATCATATGACAGGAGATCAAAGGTATTTTTCAAAAATCGACAACACAATCACCGGAAAGGTTCGATTCGGAGACGACTCTAGAATAGAGATCAGAGGAAAGGGTACAATATCCTTCATAGATATGAATGGAGATCCTCGACGTCTACTTTATTCCTGACCTTAAAAGCAACATTATCAGCTTGGGGCAACCTACTGAATCAGGGTAATGAACGGAGACAAGCTCACAATGCACGATCAATACGACAAGTTACTTGCTACCTCACAGAGATCGAAGAACAGGTTGTATAAAGTTCGAATGGGGTTGAAAAATACGTCATGTCTTCTAACTACGGATAATGAGTCAAGTAAGTGGCATGCCCGTTTGGGACACGTGAATTATGAGACCATACGAAGTATGATGCAGAAAGAACTGGTCCTTGGACTACCAAAAGTTAGTATTGAGAAAGAAGTATGCGGATCATGTCTTTTTGGGAAGCAGAGTCGTAAAGCTACCTTATATCGAGCTGAATCAACACTAGAACTTCTCCATGGAGATCTTTGTGGACCCATAACTCCAAGTACACAGGCTGGTAACAGATACATGTTTGTTGTCATCGATGATCACAGCAGATATATGTGGACGATGTTACTAAAAGAAAAATCTGAGGCGCTCGAGGTTTAGGAGATTGAGAAACATTGTGGAGCAGGAGACAAAGCAGAAGATACAAACTTTCAGAACAGATAGAGGAGGAGAACAAGCAACCTATTTCTATTGAGTTATAGAATAGGAAATTCTCTATTATTTGTCCTAATGAGTTTAGGAGATAGAAACTATCCTAATGAGTTTAGGAAATAGAAAATCATATATATATAGATGCTTAGACGAGATGTAATGTGTGAGAACTTGAGGTTTTGTGATAGTTTTCCCTTAGATTAATAAGAAGTGTTCTTATTTTGTGAGTTATATCAAAAGTGTTTGAGTTGGTTGATTTCAATATCCAAACTGAATCGAAACTAAAACCTTATTTCATATTTGATTTGATTCGAGTTTTGAGCTGTAAAAATACCCGAATTGGTATTTGATATCAAATATATACTGAATTTGGACAGATATATTCTAATAATTCAAAGTTTTGTTGAAAAGCAGACTTGAAAATCGGAATTAGTAACCAAAATAAATAATTAAAATTTAAGTAAATATTTCAATTACTCAACTTGATATTCATAAATCATATTGACATGATATCTAAAAGAGCAAAATCCTGATTATTATTAACCAAATTCAAAATGAGTTAGATATTAGACCAAATTATAAGATATACCAAATCCAACATTTTATTAAACTAATCCTACCTGAACATGTATAAATTTTAAAGTGTTGAATTCGAAAACCCAAAATATTCTATTTAAACTGGAAAATTCAATGAAGTTCAATGAAGTTGATATTCTATTCACAAGGAATTTTCAAGGGAAATTTCCTCAGCCTATATCATTTGATATATTGTTTTTTTCTCATTTTAGTTACGTTATTGTTGTTTTCTATTATTGTGTATGTATTTGTATAACTCGTTACTTTATATAATTAATAAATTTAAATTGTTATAAAAAATAAATACGAATATCCAAACCCTCATATGCTTAGCTAAGCCGATCGCCAATCCAACATCGTACCAAACTTCTTTCCTACCGTCCGGTTTGCAATTATTTCCCAACCAAACGTGCTTGTCTGGTCATTAAACAAGCACGACTGACCCTCTTCATGAACCAGAGACTTCGGTTCCTAATAATACAATTGTGTAAAAAAAAAACATAAACAAAAGAAAAAACGATCCGTCGTCTTCGTCGTCGTTGTTGACCCCCCTTTCAGCCATAAATTCATTTCCTGCTTCCCTTCCTCGGTTTAAAGATCTGATTCTTCGTATATGTTGATCTAACCTCATCTCATCCCTCAAAACCTTACACCTTATCGGATCCGATGGAATCACAAGACGACGTCACCAATCCAATCCCACCATCTCCATCCTGTAACCTCTGCGGAAGACTCATCTCCCAATCCACCACCCCCGACGATCTCGAAATCTTCAGCTTATGCGGAGACTGCAAGTTCCTCCTCCTCCAAGACTTCGGCACCCCTCCTCCTTTAACCCGTCGCCAGACAGCTCGGAGGAGGAGGATGAGGATGAGAAGGAGAAGGCGAGGGAGCTCCTCCGAATCCGTCTCCGATCTCTCCACCCAACAGCAGTTCACTCATTTGATAAGTATCGCAAGACAGAGCCTTGGTAATGAAACTAGCTCTCACACAACGCCAACTGGTTCAACGAGATGGAGGGTCTTGTCCGAATCCGAAAGTGAAGATCTTGATAACTTGTCCAACGCTAGCTTTAGCCTCTACAGGTTTTCTTCGCTTGGTGACAATGATGCTGTTTCCTTTAGTGCTTACGGTGGAGAAGAGTCTGAGTCTGATGATGATGTTGAGAGGAGTGAGATTGAGTTTGATACTGATATTGACCCTATGCACGCTGGTGGTCCGAACCAGTGGAACTCTGACAGAGAGTGGGAGGAGGAGAGCAACAGCTCTGTGACTCGGTTTGATTCACTTGACTTAGAGAGAACCTTTCGTCAAAGAATCTTAGAGAGGAGACAAGCTTTGTCTCGCAACATCTTCACTGGTTTGGAAGATTCTCGCTTTCCCGTGGCGGATTATCTCGATGAGAGAGGCTTTGAAGAGCTGCTGGAGCAGCTTGCTGAGTCTGACAACTCAAGAAGAGGTGCGCCACCTGCGTCTCTGTACTGCGTCAGGAATCTTCCCAGGGTTATCATCGGAGAGGAAGGGCTAGATTGTGCGGTCTGCAAGGAGGTTTTCTCCCTTGGGAATGAAACTCTTCAGCTTCCGTGTCTTCATCTGTATCACGCTCATTGTATTGTACCTTGGCTTAGTGCTCGTAACTCGTGCCCGCTATGTCGGTACGAGCTTCCAACAGATGATAAAGACTACGAAGAGCGGAAGCAGAATGTGGTGGAAGATGTGAGGGAGGATAGCTCTGATGATGATGAGGGCTCAGAAGCTGGGGAAGAGGAGGATCATAATGATGTGGTGAGAGGTGAGAGTGAGGCTGGTGTGAGCAGAGTTAGCAGAGGAAGATGGCTATTCCTTGCTGCTGCACCTGTTGTGAGTCTGGTGGGGGTTGTGTTGGCAATGTGGCTTAGCAACCCACAGAGGAGGAATATAGTATTGTCTAATAGCCAAAGGGGAAACAGGACCAGAAGATGGTTGCCGTTTTTCTAACAAGTGACGACCATGGAAGTTCCACGTGTTGTTCCACAATGTGTATTCTTATTACAGACCCTAAAAGATGCTTGAGTTTATGTTTGTTTGTTTCTGGACATTGACTTGTGTTGTTTCCACATGTTAGTTTAATGGAAGCTTAACCAAAGTTGTGCTGTGTGTTGCAAGTATTCTTGATTTAACCAAAGTTATAGTAATCTTAGCTTTGGTTACCTTGTATCGCCTCTTTTAATTATTTAGATGAACTTTAAGAAGTGTTTCAAGCATAGTTTGTTAATGTTCTTCAGGTGGTTTATATTCTACTTTCTAACTGTTTGTTTGTATTCTCTTTGAATATTTATTCTTTTCTGCCTGTGCGGCCTTGTCTCCGCACCTGCTTGTTTTGCTGCCGTAGTTTTAGAGTCCAAGCGATCAGGGACTCACTTTAATACTGGTTTTTTATGAAGAGTGGTGTATGTTTGTTTCACTTGGAGTTTGGTGCTTCAATGGGTTTCTAATACTAGCTTTGTTAGATGATGTTTCATAGTTTGCGAACTCACTGGATCATCAAGTAACCGTTCGTCAAAAATCCCAAGACGTTGCCAATGCTATCCTACATCTGCTACACAAGGTGACGCATCTCTGTACAATAGAACTATTTCCATTGAACAACGTTCCTCTGAGATTTGTCTTGAATGGTTGTTTGAATTCTATGTTAGAAGTGTTGGGCATGTTTGGTTTGTGCTGTAGTGGGTCTGATTCATGATGATGTTTAACGTGTGTTTCTTATCTTGGATTTGTTGCAGTGCTCAGGATAAGCTGCTTCACATTCCTCTTCTCTTGAAGCAAGAATTTGTTCAGAACAAAAAATATAAAACTCATCCAACATGATGCACATTGGCTTTGAGCCGAAACTATTCTTGCAAAAGGTAACTTTTGATAGAATAATACACTCATCACCCTGTGTGATCTACTGCCACTTTAGATAAAGTCTTCTATTGTAACCATTGGTGTTTTGACATTCTTAGCCACTCCACAAAACCTTTTAATGCACGAGCCACAAACTATAGCATACTTTCGATTTATTCAGAGAAAAAAAAACAACAAGGGTTCTCAGCTCATGTTGCATTAGTTAATGAGGGTTATAAACTCACATTTACACAGGAAAAGAAAAGGAAGTTTGGTTGGTTGAGGCACATATAAAGATGCCCCTGTATCTACAGCATAGTGTGAGATGAATGTGAAGAAGAAGACGGTTTAGAAGAGTATGTTGATATACAGTACCATCCATCCAGCCATTGAGAAGATGGCGAAAATGTGAACCCAGAAGAGCACAGCAGCTGATTCTCTTCCACAGCCTCTGAGGTTAGCAACAGCTCCTGAGAGCACAGAGGTAGGCATTGTGTGCTGTAGGAGCAAAACAAACTTGAACATCTTGTCACCAGTTGGAAGGAACCCAAGTTTGTCGGCTAATGTCACTATCCCTAGTCCTGCTGGTGGCACCAACACCAACCTTCCAAATATAATCGCCGCTGTTGTCTTGAAACCAAGTCTTGAACTTCCTGGTCCTGAAATATTTGCAAGGAAACAATATAAGTTCCTTGTCATATTTAGCGTTCTATATGGAATGAAAGAGATCAGCCATGTTTACCGTTAATGAGATTCCCACCAAGTGCCAACAATATACAGGGTATCATGGCGTCTCTGATAGCCAAAGGTTTCAACAGTTATTAACTCATTGTTTTTGCTAGAAGACAAGTAAAAAGTGTGCTTTGCTTACCCAAGAATCATGCAGCTATCTGTGAAGAAGAAAAGAGGTGCACCATTTGTGAAGATCAAGTTCTTGGTGAAAGGTATTGCACCAAGTATCATGGCAAGAATCTGGAAAGCATCGCCTAGTATTAGTTACATGGTGAAGGCAGTATTAAGGTCTCTTTGTATAGGAGAGATACTTACTGAAGCAATTATTGCAGGTTGGATAATTTGCTTCAGTTTCAACTTCTCATAGAGGTAAACAAGGACCTGTTTAATCTACATCATCACGGAAGCAAAATATGCAAAACTCAGTAAGGAACCGGCTTTATATCAGTCTGAACCATGAAATTAGAAAAGCCATAATTGCATTTTTTGTCACCTTGCTTTTGCTTGAATCCACTCTTGCTCTAGGCTCGGTGTTTTGTACAGGGAGGTGAACTTGAGTGGTTGAAACGTCCTTAGGGTGACTTTGAGTAAGCAAGGGGACTTGCTCTGGAGCAGAGGAATCTAGTGGAAGGTTTTTCAAAGGAAGGTTATCGTGTTCACCATCAAACCCTTCAGGAGGAGGAGCTAACATCTGGTACACATATGTGTAGAGGATGATGGCACCAACCTGACAATTACACGTTAAAAAAAGCTCTTGTTTAATTGAAGTCCCTGAGAGAGAGAGAGAGAGAGGAGAGAATCATAATGGAAACTAGAGGAGGGAACTGAAGCAATTTCCAACTCCATAAACACTGTTAACAAGAAACTAACTGTGCCACACTGTAAAAGGCCAAGAAACTAACAGGTTCACACTGTAAAAAGGCCAATAAACTAACTGTATCACACTGTAAAAAGTAAAAGACCAAGAAACTAATACAAAAGGAATGAGACAGCAAAAGGGGATAAAGTTGAAAAGCGTTACCCATTGACCAAAAGAGATGTAAGCAGTGCCATCAATACTACATTTTTCAGAGTCACCAAAAGGGTTGGAGGTGTCCCTGCACAACGCAGCTAGTAACACAAGAGGGACATTGCCAATGTTACCTGAAAACAAACAAAAGGCACATACACTGAGACTACTAGTAACACAGAGATAGAGAGACAGTATGGTATGTGTCTCAGAGGGAGGGGAAAAGGGTTCTAACCAACTCCGATTTGTATGATGGTGAACTTGAAATAAGGGTAAGGAGGACGAACAATTGTGGCAACAAGTAAGCCAATTAAAGACCCTGAGATCGTACCCAGAACAACATTCACCGGAATGAACCACCTGATAGTACAGATCAAAAGAAGATTCCTTTATTAACTCCTTAGTAAAAAAAAGGAGTTATATTAATGAACAAAGGGAAAAGAAACAGAACCATTGAAGCATCTTCTCCAAAGTAACAGCTTGTCCGAGCTGGGAGAAGATCAAGCAGGGAAGCAAAAGCGAGAAGACCAACTGAAACATGACACAAACACACTTGTTGAGATACAGAGAGAGAGAGAAAAAAACAGTAAAGAAATAAAGAAAGAGACTTTACCCCGTTTAAGAGTTTGCGGCCAGAGGGAGGCAAGATATTGACGTACTTAGAAGCCATGAGAAGACCCAAGAAGCACATAGTGAACACTTTAGCTATAGGCATCACGGCGATTTTGATTGTACCCAGAACAGAGTCACCGGCAGCAGCCACCGCCGGGCTCTCCATGAAATCGGCGAGGATACGGGCTATCATCCTGACCGAATAAACAGACTCTAAATTTTACAAGGAGCAAGCCGAAAGGAGGGTTTTTTTTGTTGTTGACGGGTTTGACTTGGGGATGGGTGTGAATCTGAGAGAAATCTGAAGGAACAGAAAGACGAAACAAAACAGAAAACACAGAAAGTGGTGAGTAGTTTCTTCTGTCGATATCGAGATCTCTAGAAGAGGTTCTCTCTATTTGCCACGTGCCTCTTCTTGCTTACTTACTCCTTTCCTTTTCTAAGCCCAAAGGCCCATTCGATTAATTATATTCTATTCCCTTCTATTCAAAGAGTTTACTTTAAAATTTTCATAAATGTCAGATCTATACTATTAAAGCAGAATCCCTCATAGGATTCTGCCTTTGATCTTTTTAGTTATTTACAATGACATGCCATTGTTTATTTTAAGGATTTTTTTTAATTAATTTCACCCATTTAATAAGGAAACAAATCTTTTGAAGATAATTTTGTTTACATATACAATACAAGTTTGTTTAGATTTTTTTTTTGTCACACAAGTTTGTTTAGATTAGGTATAAATATACGTGTATCTTTATTTTGTAAATTGGTGAATTTAAAATAAGTAACTATTTATTGCTATTAGTTAGGTATTTTTAACATTAAACTAGCTTTTGACCCGCGCGCCCGCGCGGGTGTATGTTTTTTAATATAATAATATGTTTTTGTTTGTTTTAAAAACATTCATGTTATTGTTTCATGTTTTTTTGAGATTATAATTTGATGTGTCTTGTTGATTTTGTTGAATGTGCATTTTTAAACTATGAGGTTGTATTCTTCTTATATTGTATTGTGATTTTTCTTGGTAAATTAAATATATAGTGTATAATATGAGAGCATTAAAATGATTTTTTTATCTTTTTAATAGATAAGATAATATAAATTTTGTCATTTAGAACTTATTTAAAATGATTGTTTATATCCTTCAGATTTTTAAAGTTTTATTAAATAACAAAATATAAACTATGT